TTGGCGGGTTGAAATGCTTGGCCCGGCCCGCCAATTTTTGGCGGGCCAACGGGCCGGCCCGCGGGCCATGGCCCACTTTGCCATCTCTATCCACGCTTAAGCAAGGTCAGGGGTTCGAATCCTGCCTTGTGTATGCAGCCGCGTTAAATCTTGGGGCCAGTTATCCCACTCTTTGAGGTGTCTCCCTCGTAGCGCGGTAGATACTTCAGAGACGAACAAAAAAAAAAAGAATGACTTACTATTACTTAATATTTACGTGATATTTAGAGATTTAAAATTTTTATAATTAAATATAATATTACTAAATGTCATGTCACTTAAGTAATGACATATCATAGATTAATGTTATAATTTAATGCTAAAAAAATGTTAAATTAATTAACTAAATATTTCTATTATAAAATAAATATGATAAAAACTGAAAAATTGATAAAATAAAATAAAAAACAATTTAACCTTTTAATTATTAATTAAAAAGTGTGAGTGTTATTATCTAAATTAGTGAAAGAAAGATACCTGTATCTTTCTTTTAATACTCATCGTGTTAGTGGAGACAATAAACAATTATATGAGATTAAAAAAAATTATATAAAAAGATTTTTTTTATCATTATTAATTATTGTTATGCAGTTTTTTAAATGTTAGGAAATTCCTTATAAAAAAGATATAGATAAAATTTTAAAATTTTAACGTTTCAAACTAATTTAGATCATTTAAGTTTTTGAATTATTAATTCTGATTACATGTTCACAATTTTTTTATTTTTTTTATAATATTATCATAAATGTGTTAATTTTAAAATATCTAATACTTTTTCTTATTATTATTAAAAGTGTTTATCACCTTATCGAAATCCAATCTAACTCGGGATAACCAGATCAAAAATTTTAAATTGGATAAATTAAGAACTATTTTTTTTCCCCATTGAATTCGGTAATTCAAATCCTATCTTGAAGGTTAATTCAATTTTGAGTTTTTTTCTTGGGATGATATTATGTATAAGCAATTTTAGGAGAAAAAGATTAAAAAAAATTAATTCTTTTCATGTGGTAAAACTATCTTATATATGATTTAAAAAAAATATTTTGGTTTTGGAGAAGCTAACTAATAGAAAAGAATTTCTACATATTAGCTTATATATGAACTAATTTAACTTATAGAGAAATTTATGTCTTTTTTATCTTATTTTTCTCTCATAAAAGGATTGACTTATTATTTAATTATTAGTTATTATTTCATGAATTCAAAAATCTTATATGGAAATAAATGTATTACATATTGTGTATTTGTTTTAGGATAAATTGTAAGATTATCTTTAATTTACATTTTGAATGTATAATTTAAACTATATTATGAGTTCTATATATGTAATGTTTGATGTTGGAATAATTTACGCATTTCATTATTCATTTTAATATTTATATACTTCTTTTCAAAATTCTAAAACCAATATAATCTAAATTAAAATAAATTGAATTTATCCGATTAGTTAGGTTTGATTTTAAAATCAAATTAATCACATGATTAAAGAATAAAACTGAAGTAATTGGAATGAATATTATTTTTTTATATGTCCAAAATTAATGCGAATAATGTGTTAAAGGTAATCAATTATGTGTTTGAAATGGACCAAGCTAAGGTGGAATAGACTCATAAACTTAATGAGCTACGATCCAAGTTCTCCTAGGTCATTTGGTGTTTTGAGACCAAGATGTCATGAAAAATAGATGGACACTTGTAAAAAGAAATTTGGCACTCAAATCAATAATAATTTCACCAAAATAATGATGTATATTAAAATGTTTACATGTTACAATGACATTGATGATATATAGGCATCACAAAGTTAGGTTGAAAATCGAGGTTGAAGGATAGGGTGAGAGATTTAAACATGATATGGAAAAACAATTATACACCATTAGAATTTTTTTTTAATTCAAGAGTTGAATTTTTATTTTTTATTTTTACTTCTTTTTAGTTTACCCTTTCCCACCCCATCGTTATTCTTTTGTCATCCATCTGCTCCCACCTTTTCACAACTCCATTTCAATTAGTAAGGTTATAAGCTACAAGGTCTACAAACTTGAAATCTTCCAATCGTGTGTTGATGGCACACTCCTCTACATCGACACCACCAACCCCTAATATTTATTATTTAGTAAATATATTATTTTTATGTTTTATAAAAATAATGAATTATCTTGGATATAATGGGCTGAAAAAGAGGATTTTGAAAAATAAGAAGGTTGCTACATTTTTATTTTAAAAATAAGTGTTGGGCTTGGGCTAACTAAGTTATAAAAGCTATTAGAGTTTTAACCTAGTTCAATTCCTAAGACTTTGTTGGTATTTGCCTCTTGGAACTCTGGTGTTGTAGAACCGTCATCTGAAGAGTGAGATGCTTGAAGATCATTATTTTTGTCCCTTTGCCTTGGAGGAGAACATCTTTTTTGGTAAGGACGATTGGGTTATCTCTCTTAAGGTGTGAATCAAATATAGGTAGTAAAGTTGTCCTCAACTCTATAGGTTTATGGTTTTCCTTTATGGCATTCCTTTTCGAAGGATTATGAATACATTGAGGCTCTTCTATACTATGTTTTCATGTGTTTAATATGTTTTTTCTTGTTGAGAAATTATGTCATAAGATGTTTGATTTTAAGGCTCTTCATATTGGATTGCTTATGGATTGTGAAGATATGATTTTGATGTGTCTTTTAGTGTGAGATCACTTAAAAAACTAAAAGAATAATAATACTCTTAACAAGAAAGGTTTTTCTCATCTTAACCTAAAATTTGAAATTTTTCTAAGATATACTCTTCTTACTAGAGAAGCACTCTTACTAAAATTTTATTTTATGTTTTTGTCTTAAGATTTCTCCCCTAAATCTCACCACATTGGAAGCACCATTGCTATCCAAAATCATGAGAAATCTCATAGAATCCTCTTTTCTACCACATTATTACCTCGGGTATACTTTTGACCCATCCTCATAGAGCTTCTATGATGTTCTACCCCTTAAGTATAATGTAGACCCTATTAACCGTTATAGGGTTGTCTTTTGCTTAACATGATTTAAATTGAATCCAATTTCAAATTACTATAGTTGAACTAGCCACACTCTTTAAAACCTTGCTCACGATTGCAAATTGTTTGCTTGTGATTATTGTGCGCTATTAAGGTAATGTATTTTTTAAAATTTATAAATTGCCTATATTCTTAATTACATGTTTCACATTGAACAAATTCATGTTTTTTCATATGATTGTTCTTCCCTAAACTCCATTAAAAGTTATATATTGTCTTTTAATACTTTTTGAGTCCTTAACAATATCAGATCTTGACTGCTTCAACTAATCGATCCTAATTCTTTCTTTGCTTACTTATCTTCCATCTATATGTCTTCTATCGAGATTTATTTTCTTTTTAATTTTAATAATTTAGACAAATTTCTTTGTATTCATTTTTTTCTTTGACGAAGATTTTCAATTGAAATTTCAATTGTTGCTATAAATATTATGAAGACTTGTAAATAAAATTTATAAATCTTTTCAAATTATAATTGCCATATTGTTGCATAATCTTAG